GCCAATGAGCTTACTGCCTTGCATTTATATGACTGGCTAGCATTCACTTGAGATTCCTGCAGCACGCTTTCAGAGTTCTCTGAAACTCAACAGATAGATAAGTAAACGGGTTTCACTCTGATTTCTGTGCGTTATTGGTTCGTCAGATGTACATTTTTAAACTAGAAAACATACAAGTTGTAAATCTACGTGCAGGTTATTCGCGTGAGGAGTAATTACTAAGCATGTCTTGTTCATATAACAGCAGTGGCATTAGCAGCAGCAGCAAGCACTTTTCCTAGTTCATGTATATCAAAATGCGCATGACAATCGCATTCGATTAATCGTGCAGCCCTACTTTCGTTGCATGAAATTTCAGCGATAATGCATGGATGAGCTACAGCAATTCTAGTACTTTCACAGAGTGTAACAGCAGTATCCATAGAATTTCAGATTGCGTTATTAGCGAATTAGTAATAACAGTATGCATAACAAATCAAATTATGCATTTAGTTGCGGCAGCAGTAGACTGTAGTTTACATTTACACTTTTATCCAAAGCGACTTACAGTTGCTGAAGTTTCAGTGACTTAAAATGGATGGTATGTGAACTCTTCAAGCGAATAGGCATCATTTGCATTTCGTTTATTTAAAAGGGGCTTATAGCAATTCTAAGCACCTTTGTGCAGCAGTATGCATAGTATTCAGGTCGCATGTAGCTAATTTAATAGCAGCAGCATGCATAGCAATTTCATATGCAATGTTAGAAATAATATTAGCAGCAGGAAGTCAAATTATTGTTGCTAATATAGCAGCGGCAGCAGAAAGTACTTTAGTTGCTTGAAATTTCAGTGATAACGCATGGGGTTAGCAATTCTAAGTACCTTTGTGCAGCAGTATGCATAGTATTCAGGTCGCATGTAGCTAATTTAATAGCAGCAGCATGCATAGCAATTTCATATGCAATGTTAGAAATAATATTAGCAGCAGGAAGTCAAATTATTGTTGCTAATATAGCAGCGGCAGCAGAAAGTACTTAAGTTGCTTGAAATTTCAGTGATAACGCATGGGGTAAGTAACTCTCTTTAAAGGGAAATAGGCATTTTATTTATTTGCTTCTTTAACAGGGCTTACAGTAGATTGTGAACTTTTCAAAGCAAAATAGGCATTATTTGATTGCGTTTGCTTGTTAATAAAGACGCTTATAGCAATTCTAAGTACTTTTGTGCAGCTATAGCAGCATTATGCATTGCCTATTCAGATCACTAGTTTAGTGAATTTTAATAGCAGCAGCACGCATGGCAAAATTCAGATGCAATGTTAGATATATTAGCAGCAGTCTGCATAGCAATCCAATTATCACTGTTGCTAATATATCAGCGGCAGCATAAAATACATTTAGTTGCATGAAATTTCAGTGATAAGATAACGCTTGGATGGTTGTGAACTTTTTAGGTGAAATAGGCATTTTATTACTTTGCTATTCAGTTCAACAGGGTTTATAGAACTCTTCAAAGCGAAATATAGCAAATTTTATAGCATGCATAGCAAATTCAGATGCAAGGTTAGAAATAATATTAGCAGCAGCATGCATAGCAAGTCATTATTATGGCTAATATAGTAGCGGCAGCAGAAAGCGCTTTAGTTGCATTACATTTTTGTGATAACTCGGCCGTATCGCACTGCATACATTGCAGACCGCTTTACCTATCGTTATGGGTCTATTGATTTGGTCATATTGTGCTGCTCGTGTCTGGCGTAGACACCATGTTAGAGGAAAATAGGCATTCGCCTAGCTACTCGTATGCCTAATTAATGGAGCTCTCAGCAGTTCAGTCTCTTGTGCAGTAGCAGCAGCTTGCATAGGCATTCGGTCATCGAGATTTGTCTCAGCAGCATGCACAGCATTTCTATGTTGCACATTTTAATTTAGACACAATTAATATAAAAGCAGACAACTGCATTTAAATAAAGTCACTGTAGTGTCTTGCTCAAGGCCATCTTGGAACGAGCCACGCATTTAGCAATGATGTGTTCATACAATGCAAACATTATTGTTCTTAATATGCTATATAAATATTTTAAATTATCAAAATAAATGAGCAGCTGCTT